CAGAAAAGTAGTGAACCAATCCTCCACATTACCATCGGGCACCTTAACATTGGAAGCCCGCTCTTCATCTATAGTTAAAAAGGACTTCTCAAACAAAGGGGAATCATCCGTACCTTTTTCTGTTGCTTTACGACCGAAGTCGTGTTTTTTCTTAGACCTCTTCTCCACACCAGAAGAAGCACCAACATCCGCCATTTTCACCAATTTTCTCTTCTTCCTCCTCTCTGGTTGTTCCAACTCCAAAGACTTCGGAGAAGAGGACGGCACCTCGGTGTGGACGACCTCGGCCGCAACCAGCTCCGTCCCTGCCACAACAGGCTCAGGCTTTGCTTGGCTAACTGGTGGCACCTCGGTAGTTGTCACCTCTTGCAAGGACTTCGGGCTCTCCGGAATAGCCGCCGAAGTCGCACTTGACCCCACTTCGGTTAATTTTTTACCAGCATTCTTTTGACCCGCAGTTTTCTTTACCAAAGCACGAACTAAGTCCCTCCTCATGATGTTGTTTAACCGCAAATCTCGGCTTTTACCGAACTTGGACTGCAAATCCTTGTTGGGGTACTTGCGCCTGAACTCCTTAGCCTCCTTGATTGTGCTATAGCCTAGGAATCCGAGGAGCGGATAGTATACTGCGGTCAGAATCAATCAAAGTTATTCACAACTATTCGATATACATAAAAGCGCAGGTAAAACCAACAGCTAGGGAATGTTCATTACCGGGGTCAAACTTGACAGTGGTAACTCCGAGAGATAATCCAGCCGCCTCAAGTTTTGAATCGACAACAAGCTTGCGATAATCTCGGACCTCCTTATCCAAACTAGCAAGTGTGATTAATTTCCCACCGAACTCTGGACTCAATCTCGGTTCCGTTTGTTTAGTCTCTTTTTCTACAAAGAGCAAAAGTTCTGACCTGTTAGTGCACAGAACAAGGCAAAATCAGAGAAGTGTATCCAAATCAAAAGATAAAAAAGACTCACTTGCTCCAGAATGAATGAACATTGGAATCGTCATCCCATCAATCCGAGGTTCATGAAAGAAGCTCTCAGACTGCCACTCTCCTCCAATCCACAACCACTCTTCCTGGAATCCATGAAGAGTTTCTGGGATGTCGGTTATTATTTCACCGACTTTTAAACCATGCTGCGGCTTCGCTCCGTCAAAGAAGCAGCATGAAGACTCCGGAACGTGTCTCCTCGGACTTTTCTTAAAGGCGAAAATGCTCCTTATTTCCTCACACGATGGCAGCCCATCGCCCTGCTCGTGCAACAGCACCATCAGACCGATTATTTTTTTCCAACTATTGGGGGTAATCTGGCACAGCGGTAGCCCCCAACTCCGAAGGTACTCAGTGATCAAGCTCGGTAATGGGAATCTTAATCCCGACCTCAAACTTTCAACAAAAACACCAACACACCCCGGAGGAGGACTGGTTATTCTCTCCCCCGGATATGGAGCAAAATTTTTTACCGAGGGTGGAATCCGAATCTGCTCCCGCAGCATCACCATGTCCGCATTGGTTAGGATGCTGGGCTCACCTTCGAAGTCGACCGCCGGATCAGGCCACTTCCTCACTGGTCTCCTCCAGTGAGGCACCTCAATATCGGCCGCGTTGTCCTCAACCACCCGATCGCCATCGTCATCATCTGGCTCAATATCTAAATGTCCTACCAACATCGGATCCCACCGATGATACTCAAAGGCCAATTCGACCAACTGAGAATCGTGATACACATCCAAAGGAACTGACTCAGTACTAGAAGAGCTTGCCACTGCCTTTCCCTTCCCTTTCGGCGCCATCGCACAATTGAACAGAACACAAAAGAAATAAAAGAAGAAATTGAACAAAAAGCTTACCGAAAAAATTCGCGCACGTACAGCAAGCAGGAAACAACCCTCGAAATCTCAGAAGAATTTCAACAACAAGTATAATACGAAAGCTCGAGAATGAAAGCAAAGGTGAAGAAAACTCGACCAGATATCGCAAAACCCTATTTATAATTTTTGATTTATGACCGTTAGGGAACTTAATTAGGGGCGCGTCTGACCGACGCGACCCCTAATTCCAACTGACGCCACCTCTTCATCTGATAAGACGCCTACTGTTACACGTGGCAACCTATTAAAGCCGACCGTTACCTCATTCAAGGCCATTACGGCGCGACTGTTCATTCTGACATTAAATAGTTGACCGTTACAACTATTCACATTCCTCCTGTCGTGACTGCCTGCAAACTGCTCGAATCTCACCAAGTGTCTTCACCTCAGAACACAGTCTGCACTTCAGAACAAGCAGCTCACTTCGGTTATCTCGGTCACATCGAGAGACCGAAGATCACTCTACTAATACGATAAGCGCTATGTCGTTGACTTTTTACCGACTCGGAGCCTCTAAATGTTTAACAACATCGATGGCCATCACTTCGTATGCCCACCGATATTGGGGGCCTATCTGTTATCATTCGACTCGGCAAAACACCATTAAGAGGTTTCAAACATCATGTTAAGAGAAAATGACCATTGAACCGACGTGATCTTACCACCACACCGGTCTGGACAATGAACCAGTCCGAATTACCGAAGACCGAGGTGATCAATACCTACCGAGGTCTACTTAAACCAAGGTCGTCATCTCCTTAAGCAGGTGACAAGGCGCCTACACTCATATCACACTCTACGAGGATCGTCATCATTCATGTGGGGACCACTGCTTCAAACCGCCCACCAAAAGTCACTTTATGCGAAAAGTAGTACCCGAATCCCAAGATGTATATTGAAAAAGCTACTATAAATAGTGAACCCATGACATTTTTAAGGGGATCCCCCGAATTCATAAAAAGATGAAACACATAAAAGCCCATCACGGCTCTTCACCTCGGTTCACCTCGGACCGGGGCCATTATTGAGTTATTTTTACATGCTTTACGTCCAAACCGTTCATAATTACCGTCTTAATCACTTGTTACATCGTTGTTAGAAATCACATAACAACACTCTATACGCACAGAGATAGAGATGGTAGAGGCCAAAATAGAAGTGGAACTCACCTCCAAACGAGATCGAGATACACCAATTACAATCCAATTGACGACCCACGAGCCCGCCTCCACCAATCACTACGACTCCGACGAACTAGGGCTAGGCAAACCGTCGAATGCAAGCACCGCGCGGCAATACCATAACTCCGGAATAGCAGAGGAGGGACGACGGCCGAAAGCGACCACCGGCCGGCGCCGCACCACCACAGAGGAAGGCAGATCGATTCAGACGAGAGAGTCGTAGTGTCGGTTTATCGTGAGAGAGGCGCTGCTAATTTGTGTTAAAAAGAAAATGATTAAAAAAGTTGTTTAGCAGCAAGAAAAATAAAAGTACACTTTTTCCTTTTTAATTGGCTTAATTGCACATAAAATTTCCACTTTTTGTGTACTTGCGAATAAAACTCCACTTTATTATCTTTGCAAATAAATACCAATTTTTCAGAATTTGGGGTTGAGCGCGTAAATGTATTCAGAATGTTGGGGGTGAAGAATCGCGTCATGGAGAAGAAAAGAATCGCTACAATTTTATTTTATTTTTCAATTGGGGGAGTAGAACTCTGTTATTACGAAGATTGTGAAGTAAAAAACATGGTGATAAAATCCTATTTTTTCAATTGGTACTAAATTCTAATTTTGGTTAATTTGTTGGCCTATGATGTGACAAAAGCATGGTGAAGAGTTTCAAAGATTGATGTCACACAAACCTCATAAGTGTCACGTAAGATTTCTGGTCGGACACGTCAACAATAATTGGCCAGAAAATAGTTTTGAGACAAATTTGTAACACATAATAAAAGTTTGATATTTATTTGCAAAGATAAAAAATTGAATTTTATTTGCAATTACACAAAAAGTGTAGATTTTATGTGCAATTAAGCATTTTTAATTTCTCGCACTTTATCATTTTTTATTACTTAGCTAACTAAGGCTCATGTTTATTTGAGCTCGGATCGTGGCTCGTTTACAACCCAATTAATCATTACAAAGATACCATTTCAGTTTATTTAATTAGTATATTCAGTTGTTGATATTAGCTCAAATGAGGTGTTAGCCCGATCACTCAAAGAGTTGTAGCTAGGACTGTTATCGAATAGAACTGAGCTTCAGGTGTTCGAGCTCGAGTTCGACTAATTTTCGAACATGTTTGTGTTCGTTCGTTTAGTAAAAAAAAATTCTTTCGTGTTCGTTTGTTTATTAGTTTGACACGTTCGTGTTCATTTGTTTATCTAGTCGAACTTGTTCGTGAACTGTTCAAATTGTTCGACAAGTTCGTGTTCGTGTTTTTTAACTTTTTTATTTTTATTTTAATGTCGTACAAGTTATTTTATTCAATATTTAATATATATTTATATATATGTATATTATATTATACATGTATATACTATACATAGTATATAAAATTATAAAATAATTTTTAGTTCGCGAACGCTCGATTAGTTCGCGAACTTGTTCGTGTTCGTTCGATAACTAAACGAACATAGTTTCATGTTCGAGTTCGGTTCGATTGCTAAAACGAGTTGTTATCGAACACGAACGAGCTTTGTTCGGGAACAACTCGATTCAATAACAGCCCTAGTTGTAGTCTATGAGTGCTTAACTGGGTTTAATAAACAGTAGTCCGGTCTACTATACTTAGTTTTGGATTGGGTCAGTTACATTCTTGCTTTTGTGATTTGTAAATAATTATATATGTACGATGAAATAGAAAAAATTGCATTGTTATCATATCTTGAACAAATAATTAAAACATGCATATTGTCGATTCAGTGATATTTATTATAAAGAAAAAAGTGAGAAGAGATTAATAATAGTTTTAATTTCATTTTAATAAATCTTATCTTAACTAGATAAATAAATAAATAAATAAATAAATCTTGCATCCAATCGTCCTAAAACCCAAAACCTCCAACAGAGCCCTACCTTATTCTTACCCCTTTTCCTCTACAGTCTACGCTTCACCTACGGCCATGACCTCATTCGCCGCCAGATCGATCCTACGCTCCGCCTCAACATCCGCCCGAGGCGCCGCCGCCAGAATCTCCGCCGGTGCCAAGCCTAGGGCTTCTCCTTCCCCTTTCCGCGTCCCGACTCAGAAACCCCTTTCCGCTCGCATTTTCAGGTACCTTTTTCTCGATCGAAAATTGATTTACTCCCCATTAAAACTTTTCTGTGTTTCGATTGTGATGAATTTGGCACTCGATGTGCGAGCTTGGACTTAGGTCGCCTGTTGAGATGAGCAGCGTTAGCGTGGCGTCTATGCTGCCGTACCATAGCGCAACCGCTTCTGCAGTTCTTACTTCCATGCTCTCTGTTGCTCCACGCAGCCACGCTTGGACTCTTGAAGGTAATTGTTTTATTTTCTTGATATTAGCAATAGTTGTGTTATTATGGAGAAATCAATTCATTTATTCTCTGAGTGCCTATTATAAGCAATTTGATGTAGATGGGATATATATGCTGCTATTACAGTCTTTATTTTGGCTTGTTTTTATTTGATCACATATATATCATACTTAACTGTGTACGTATGATTGTTAATTGATGTATGATTTTTTTTAAATCATTTTTGGATTTCCATTTTAACAATTCAGAGTACTAGCCCAGTCGTTCCGTTAGTTCTTACACGTTTCCTAATTACAGGCACGTAACTTGTATATGAGAAATTATCCTTATGATAGATCCTGTTCAAGAAGATATCAATGTTAGTTCTTTGACATTTAACCCTTCACGCAAA